AACAGCCAAGGAATATGGGCAGCGTCTAGAAGCTGGGAAAAGCAAGGAAACAGATTCTCCCCTAGAGCCTCCAGAAAAGAATGCAGCCCCGCCAACATCTTGACTTTGAGACCAGTGAGATCTGTGTCAGGCTTCTGACCTCCAGAAATGTAAGATAACTTTGTATTGTTTGAAGCCACCAAGTTTGTGGTAAATTGTTACAGCAGCAGTAGAAAACTAATACACCTCTACTCCCTCCCTACTGGTCATTTCAAAGCAACATAGAATCTACGTGGAAACAATGGCTTGCTTTGCAAACACAGCTGCGAGACAAGCCATGGTCACCACTGCCAAGCACATGTCTCAGCGTAAGTGCATCCTTCACCGAACCTCTGGAACCAACTCAGGGGTACACCCAAGTTCAGCCCTTGTCCACCTCGGCTCAATCCGTACATTTGACATGGGGATTTGATTCAAAAATCAACGGTTCTCTCCAGACCCCACTTCTGAGCTTCAGGCCACTGTTTCCAATTCGAATATCCTAGAGGCACCTCAATCTCGATGTGCCCCAGATAGGAATCATCATCTTTACCCTTGAACCTGTTTTCTGGCTAGGTCTCTTTGCTTCTATTACGCGCCTCCCGTTTACCCAGCAAATCTCAGCTTTTCAGGCACACCGCTTTTCCACCCCTACACTCATCCCGTGTCATCCACCCACTCTACCCATTCCATGTCCCTCCTTTTCCACTCCCGTTGTGCTGGCTCAAGACCTCAGGGCTGTAACCATGGCTTCGGAAACAGCAGCCCAACTCTAGACTCTCCTCAGTCTCACATAACCCCTGCACTCTTGGGAGCTCTCTTGCCAAAATGGTCTGATCACATTACATCTCTGCTCCAAAACCTTTTAAGGCTCTCTCTTGCTTACAGAACAATGCCCAAACTTCATGCTTTTACTGAACACCAAAATCCACCCCTAACTCCCTTCCAGCCTTATGTCCCATCCCATCCCTATACGCTGGCATGCTCTGTGAGCCAGCTAGCTGGTTTCCTGTGCCTGGACCAAGTCCTGTCTTGTCCCACCTTTGTGTCTTTGGCCTTGAATACCCTTTTCTGCTGTATCTCTCCTTCCTAAGTCCATAATGTCCGTCAATGGCAACAGTAACCACTAGTAAGCCACATGTTACTATGGGCTGGTCTGTTCATGATCCCATTTGTTAGCGCATTATTTCACTGCATCCTCATAATCATCACATTTTACTAATGAGGAAACGGAGGCTTAGAGAGTGACCTGTTGGGGTGCTTTTAAAATATGTCCACACATGCTTTGACACTCTTCCCTTCAAAAGGTGGAGCCTAATTCCTCTCCCTTTGAATGTGGTACTTGAGCTGTCCTTAGGGACTCGCTGCCAACTAATAGAATGTGGTGGAAGTGGAGGTGTTTGGCTTCCAAGACTGGGTCATAAAAGGCACTGTGGCTTCCTCTTTTGCTCGAGTCTCTCATTCTGAAGGAGGACAGTTACCATGTCATGAAGACACTCAAGCAGCCCGTGGAAAGGCCCACGTGGAGAAAAACTGAGGCCTTCAGCCAACAGCCACCACCATGTGTGTGAGCCATCTTGAAAGTGGCTCCTCTAGGCTCAGTCAAGCCTTCAGATGACTGCAGCCCCTGCAACGTCTTGACTACAACCTATGAGAGACCCTGAACCAGAACTACCCAGCTAAGCTGCACCTGAATTCCCAATCCACAGAAACTGCGAGATAATAAATATTTATTGTTTTAAGCCACTAAGTTTTAGGGTAATTTGTTACACAGTAATAGATAACTAAAACACTTACCCAGGGTCATGCAACTAGTGAGTGGTAGAGACTTGAACACTGGTTTGTCTGTCCCCAAAGCTCATACTCTTAACCCCAACCCAACACTGCCTACATTGTACTAGTACTAGTACTAGTACTAGTCTACATTTTTCTTCCTTTAGAAAACCTTGACAGAGTCTCTCCCTCAAAATTCATCTTCCTCTAATCTGTACCTTTAAGCTCTAATCAAAATGCCCATCCATCGTGCTCCTGCCCCTAACAATCACCATATTTGCTTAAGACCCACCTCACTTCATTTTCAACTTCCCAGCTCTAGGCTCTCAGCTTTAGTACCTACATCCCAGTGTTGCTGCAAAGATTGAATGAGATAATATGTGTAAAAGCACTTAGCAGAGTAATGGCTCAATGATATAATTTGTTACCTCCTCAGTACAGCACTTCATCTGTCCTGTGGATGAAGTCTCAACTCTGGCTGTACATTAGAACCACCTAGGAAGCTGTTAAAAAAACAAAGAACAATGCCTGGGCCCTACCCTGAATTAATAGGTCTGATTTAATAGGTCTTAGGTGAAGCCAGGCAACGAAAGCTCCCCAGATGATTTTAAAGTGCAGCCAGGGTAGAAAACCACGGGATTAGATCACAGGTTCTCAACCAGGGGGGATTTTGCTGTCCTTCCCTCTCCACCCCTCAACTCCCCTGACATTTGCCAGTGTCTGGAGACACTCTTGACGGTGATGACTGTAGGGGGTGCTATGGCATGTAGTGGGTGGAGGCTGGAGACGCTACGAAACATCCTACAATGCACAGGCCAGACCCACAACAGAGATTTATCTGGTGCTAAATGTCAACAGTGCCAAGGTGGGGAAAGCTTGGATTAGATATGTTTCCCAGCTCCTGCCCTCGGTTCCTAACATTCAGGTTGGTTGCCTCTCTGACTCTTCCTGTTCAAAAGTACCCCTGAGAAGGATATAGCACCTGGGTTCTTCCCTCTCAAGACCAAATCTGGGCACCGACCAGCCTGGCCACTGCCTCCAATGGGCTGGCTCCAGGCCCACCAGGGGGGCCCGTGGACAGCCTTGTGCTTCCCCATTTCCCTTTAGTGCTTTGCTAACGTTTGTATTACAACACTCACTACAGAAACTTCAGCTAGTTGTAAGCACATCTGTCTCACCACAAGGGCTGGAGCCATGTTGTATTCATCTCTATTTTCTCCCCAGCATCAAGCTCTGTGCATGGCACTTGGTATGTGTTCAATGAATATTTATTGCATCAAATTAGATTAATATCATTTTAAGTTTTATCATGCTTCTGGGCATCTCTTTGAAAAGTCATGGAAATAGAGAATACGAATGCTAGTCAAGGCCAGAGCTCTTGTGTTTCTGTTCTTCTGGAGTCCAGTTGAAATGACTGCTATTGCTACTTTGTGGTATATTTACATGAGCTGCCAGAGGAAGTTAGCAACCATTTTAAATTAAGATACTTGTACAATAAATGACTAAGGATTTGAGAGGACTCTTATCTAGAGAAGTTCTCATATATTTGAGATTCTTTTTCACTGGTTACTGTAAGTGGGAAAATGTTTCATTTTCAAAGCAAAGCAATAACTTGGAGAATGATACTGAAAAAATCATGTCTTAGAAAAACATATGCAAACCTTTCATTTATAGTCAATAAATTATGGGCTTTCCACTGTCATAGTGGACAAAACAAGGCACAGGTTTAGAAGCTAAGTAAGAAACAAGGTTTTCCAATATCATTCTCCTTTCAGTATGTAATCTCAAATTTTTAAAAAACTGGTAATATCTGGGGTGTTTTTAATTCTCAAAATTGAGAAAGTCAGCCAAGAGTCTATTCAACTTGGTATTTTCAAGAAGGGAAGATTTAAGCAACAAATGTGACATTTGAGGGCTAAGGGTCTAATTTAATGTCTTCCACTCTGTTTAATATGGGGTTTTATAAACCTCACTTAATTTCCCAGTGCCTCAGTTTCCTGACATTACTCTTGCAAAGGGCTAGTGTGAAAACATTTTCAAAGCATAAGTTTAAATATATATTATTTTCTCTAAATTGAGCTATCTTTCTTCCACTTATATCTTAAAATAGTGGACCACTGCTTAAATGTCATCCTCCAAGCCAGATCTTTTCTGACCATCCTATATAAAATTAAACCCCATCAATACTCTGTATTCCTCCCTCTCTGCTTTATTTTTGCCTGTAGTACTTACTCGTTTGTTTATTGTCTGTCACTTCCCACTAGAATATAAGCTACATCAAAGCAGTGATTTTTGGCTACTTTGTTCACTGCTTTACCTCCAGCACCTAGAATGATGTTTGGCACATAGTAGTACTATGTGTACTTCATACAATAAATAAAAATTTATTGTATGAAGAATTAAATTATGCAAATCTAGAAATAAAATATACTATAATGCCATCATTGGCATGAATTAGATGTGATTGAATCAACATGGCTAGGTCTCAAAAGAATGTATTTGAGTCAAAAAAAAGCAACTTGCGCAGAATAATGCATAAATTCCCTCATCTGCAAAACAGGGCTAATAACAGCATTGTTATCAGGATCAAGTTAATTCATTAGTGTTAAATGCTGAGAACAATGACATATCATTGCTATATTATGGATGAAAAGTAGCTTACATAAAATAATTATACTAATTTTATATGATATAATCTAATTTTATATAATTAAATAACTAATTTTAAGAGCTCTGGAAGGATGCACTATAGACCAAACTGATTACTTCTGTGAGGTAAGAAGACTCAGATTAAAATGATGGTCAAAGAGAGTTTTAACTTTGTCGTGTTCTAATATTTTAAATGTAGAATTGATGCATATAACTAAAAATGAATATTTAGAAAATTTTATGCATATTTCCTGAGACATAATGACCTTCAGGGGGAGAGAGAGAGAGAAAGAGAGGGCAAGGGAGAGAGAATGGAGAGACGAATTACTTAGGATAAGAATTTTTTAAAGTTTTGTGTTTCATTTCTGAAATGCTTCTTGAATAATCACTGCATAGATAGGATGCCCTTAGCCTAGACTGAAAACAACCAGAGACAAGAGCCACAAATATAACTGACCTGGGGTCCTGGGCGGATTATATGAGTTAGTTCTCTTAGATTGGAGAAAACTATTACACAATCATAAAATTAGGAATAAGTTATTGGAAGCCTTGTTACTTACTGATCCTTCAGCCACTGCTCCACAAATGGAATGGAGAAGAATTCTGTGAACAGCTCGCCTATCCTCTTTGGATTATGACTGGTCACGATGCCATATGTTTGATTGACAAGAAGACAATAAGCAAGAATTCAAGTCAATTGTTGCTATTCTGCTTGCAAATCAACACTACTGAATCCTTAGGGTCATTGAATATTCAAAGACATGAAAAACTTACTTGTATAACCACTCGATCAGAAAATCACAGGCAATGAACTTGGTTCTTTTCCTCTAAAGAGAGAAGAGAGAATTGAATTATATTCTTTGCCCACATATTTGAGTAGGACAAAGGAAGAGAGGTTAATTGATTGCTTGTGCTAGATGAAATATGCATGAGTCCTTTATGAGGTTTATAAGCACATCAACAAACAGTAACACAGGCAATGTAAAGAATTCTGAAGACATTTCTCCAGCAATCTTTAGATAAGCATATTTGCTGACGGTAGGGACTAATTAAAGACTGCAGATAGTAGGGGGCTTATTACATGCTTTTGGAATTGTCTCAGAAGGATTTTATTTAAATCTAGACTTTGATGCTGAGTAATTGTATTTATTGCTTTTCCCCAGTCCACTCAAATCCTCAGAATAGTAGTACTTCAGGTCTGGGTGCCACCTTCAAATGTGGAAGCCAAGCATGCAGGTGCCATTAGCCAGTGTGGTTGACCCTGCCAGGTGTCCACCCAACAGCTACTCACTACTTCATCCTGATTAACAGAAACCTGATTGACAATCAGCCCAGGGGAAAAACTACATGTGCCAGCCTCCTATGCAGCATGGGACAGCCATATGACACAGTTCTGCCATATGAGATAGAAATGGATATGTCCTAAGGATTTCTGAGAAAGTTCTGCTTTCTTGATTTCTGCTGCCCTCCTTCCTTCAAGTTTCCTTATACTTCTTTCAGTCTGGAACACAGATGTGGGGCTGGAAGTAGAGCAGCACCTATCAGCCAAGAGGCCACAAGCCACACGCTAAAGATGGTGGAGCAGTGGGTTAGAAGGAGCCTGGGCCTCTGATGCTTTCCTTAAGCCACTGCACGAGCTTGGGCCTGACCTACTTGGGACATCTTGACATGTAAGGAAAAACCAACTTCATTTGGATTATCACCACTCTTCTTGAGTTTTAACAACATGCAATTGAATGCATGATAGACAGAGAGCTAGGAAGCCACAAGAGAAAAACGTCCTGGAGTAACGGGGGAGAAGGTGTGCTGAGAAGGGCAGTGGGGTAGAGCACCAGGGATCCTGCCTCCTTGTCCCATTTAAAGTCTCCTGTAACCCAAACAGAACCAGTCAACTCCTTTTGGAGAACTGTTGTGGAAAATGGGAGATGGAAGGTCTCTGCTTCTCCCTTTGAGACAGCAGGGGCTAAGAACCAAGTGTTAGTTGCCATGTGAAGAGATCCTTCCCAAGAATGAAGGCTGCTGGAAATTCTCTCTTTGCCCCTCCAGGTCTACTCTTCTCCATCTTGCTCTGTGCCCTAGGAGGCTGATTTTATTATGGTTCACATCAACCAGGCTCCCTTATTCTCCAGTTGGGTCCAGCCAATGGGAGGTACTCAGGAGATCTGAGAGCAGGAAGGGGGAAAGGCAGGGTGTTATGGGTTGAACTTTGTGTCCCCCCACAAACTCACATATTGAAGTCCTAACCTCCAGTACTTCCGAACGTTACCTTGTTTGGAAATGGGATCATTACAAATATAATTAGTTAAGCCCAGCCACTCCTGAAGGACACAGCAACTCCAATGAGAGTAAACAAATCTAGGGTTCTATTAGCACGGAAGAAGGGAAATGCTATTGGGTAGACCACCAATGGCAGATTCCTAATGATATTGTACTAGACCCTGGATCCAGCTATGCCTGAAGTCAAAATCCCCTGGACCTTTCAGGGACACGAGCCAATATATTCCCCTTTTTCCCCTTTTTTATTAATCCAGTTTGCAATGAGTTTAAACTACTATTCCTTTCCTCGCCAATTGGCTAACTCCCATGTGTCTCTCAAGATGCCTCCAGGAAGCCTTGCTGAGTATTCTCACCCTCTTCACTTTGGGGTAGGCTCCCTCCACCCCAGTTCTCTGTGTGCCCCTCTGTCATAGCACCTCCAATGTAAATGTAACATAACTGCCAGCCCCTGTGTCTCTCTCTCCTACTGAACTACAAACTCACTGAGGACGGGGCATAGGTCTCCTTTTTCTTTATATTCCCAGTGCTTAACTGAATGCCTTGCACAGAGTAGGTGATTAATGAGTGGTGAGTAAAGGAATGAATGAATTCACCATTCAACTCTCAAGCATCAAAGCGAGAAAAGAACTCATGTACAAGAATTCTGACATTTAAAAGTAGGAATTGCTAATACAATTCTGGACAATTTCTCTTCACTTTCTTCCCATAATATTTTATTATGAAAACTTTTCCTTCTTTTTTCTTTTGTCTTCTTCATTTTGAAATAGCCAACTCAGCTTTATAACCTTAAATAAGGTTGAAAAGAGTGTTATGAAATTGATTCTCACCAAAAAGGAAAGTGCTACTTAAGATTTTTTACTGAAAGCTTTATTATAGCTGTTGGTAAATAAAATATAGTGGTGCCTGAGTTGCTGGAGATGGTTTGCAGTCTTTTACCTCCTTGCTGATAGCCTTTTATTAAAAAATTGAAACACTGCTGGCCAGGGTAATGAAATGTACTAGACCATGTAATGGGGTCTTTTAAGCCTGCATTGCAAGGGTAGGGTTCCCTTCAAAAGCCATCTTTAACCAAAATAAGAAAATACTTGTACAACAATGCAAATATGTATCTAGCATGAATAGCTGTATAATAATTTAAACAATCCAGCAATTGTAGGATGGCAGTGTCTCTCTCTGGCCCTACAAAACAATCATTGTTCCCTTGGCATTACCACACTGTTTGGTGATAAAGATTCCTTCTACAAGGGAATGCAGCTTGACTTACTCTATTAAATAGACTTTTAAAATAGCCAAATGGTTCAATGTATGAAGGTCATGCAGACAGATTTAATCACTTTTGATGCAAAGAAATAAAATGGAAGAAATGGTGTTTTCCTTCTGTTCCGGGCAAGCGTGGACGTGCCGTGCATACTCAGACATGCAGAACAGTGAGGACATTGTTCAGCTGTTGTTTAGTTTAAAAATTATCTGCTGGGGAGCCGAAAGAGAGAAGGGAAAGCAAATGGAAAGTTGTGGTGAGTGAAGAGATAAGAAAGGAAGTAATGGAGAGAAAAACTACAGCTCGAGATTAAGCAAGGGTGGGCACCCAGGGTTTACGCAATGCGGACAAATACACTGAGGTCACGATTGTTTTGTTAAAGGGTGAAAATGTGCAAGTTTGGGAGAGCAAAGGAGACAGTTAAGGCAACCTCAAATGAGGTTAAAAAGCAAAATTTTTTTAAAAAAATCCAGAATTAAAAGGAAAAAGACCAAGTGTCAAGGGGTGAGACATCAACACGTCATCATGAGTCTGCAACTTAGTTTGAAATGCATCCAAAAACACAAGATAAAGATAAAGGGAAGGATTGATGGACTGGTGGGCAGATACGCAATGAAGCGAATAATGCAAAATGGCAACTGTAGAATCTAGGTGATAAATGTGTGGGTGTTCACGCTGAAATTCTTTCAATTCTTCTAGATGTTGGGAAAATTTTTATCATAAAATTGGGGGGTGGAGGGTCAGGGAAGAGAACATTATCATAAAAGACCCAAACCTCAAAGAAAGAAAAGGCAGAAATCGAGGTTCAATCCAGACAGTATTTTGTACCAATTTTTATGTTGGGTACACGTACAGCAGACAGACTGAGGCGTGAAGACCGGGAATGGAAACGACTAGCATGGGAGAGTCACTGAACCTGCATCAGGTGACTAACGTGATTCCACCCCAGCGAGGTCAAAGCACGCACTGTGAGGTCAGCGCATTGAGTGTGGCAGGCTATGGCGTTGTGTTGGCTGGGACTCTGGGTTTGCAAGAAATGGAAATATGCTCAGGTTACCTTGGTTACTGGGTTTTTTTTTTTTTAAGTCACTTTAGGCTAGATTTTGCTGCAACAAACAACCCCCAAATCTGAGAAGCTTATATCAATGGTTTACTTCTCCCTCGTGTTACGTGAACATCTCAAGGCGCTGTGGCTCCCTGCTCCACGATGTTTTTACTCTGGGCCTCAGGCTGACAGAGCAGCCTCTCCCTGAAATATTGCTAATTATCACACAAATGAAAAGAATAGGGTGGCCCATGCTTTGACTCTTAAAGCGTGTGTTTGGAATGATACCTGTGATGTCCGTTCATTCCATTGACCAAAGCAGTCACACAGTCTAGCCTTCCTTAGGAGAGGCCACAGATATTTTTGAACTATAATATATTCTAGCACAGGGCGTTACTGTAAAAGTGGGAGGAATGTAAGAAAAAAGGGAATTCCTCTGACTGGGGGCAGAGCCAGGGGCAGGAAGAAGGAGGCCGGGGTCTGCAGCTGTTCAGGGCACAGGACAGGCTAGCCACAGTCATCACCAGCAGTTCTACGTGGGACTCAGCTCTTGGGCTGTGGCTTCTTTCTCAGCTTGCTGCTGCCTTTGCTCTCTCCTAACTGAGTCTTTCTCCTCCTCTCTCTGCTTCAAAGTCTGCTCACTCAAGGCTTTTCAACCTGTCTCCTCCTCTCTGGGGTCTCTTCCCTTCTACCCACACTGCATTCTGCCTATTCTCTCTGTCATCTGACATCTCTACTCCCCAGATGGGAGAAGCTGACGGGGCTGGTGAGAAACTATGCAGGTCAGGCCATCCCTGCTGAGCAGCGCAATTGCACCAGATCATTTCACAGCCCGCTGCCCTCCTAGAGTGGCTGCCCACAGGGCCTGATACTTACTCCTGGTCAATCACTTGTGGCCAGGGTGATGGGGACATGGACAAAGCAGTGACAGGGCTGCAGTTAAGGCTGTGGGCACGGCATGCATTAGAATGTCAGAGCCTCCTTCCCCACATAGATATTCACCACAATACACTTCCAGATGCCCGAGACCCCCGCCCCAGGCATGACAAATGATCAATAATTATGATCCTGGAAATGCACACACACTTGGACTATAACCAGATGCCAAAATTCTTATCACAGCAAACTTCAAACAGACGTTCATTTTTTTTTGCCCACTGCATTAGAATTTCATTAGAGAAAAATAACACTTCTCAGAAGTTAAAAATATGCACTCAACAGAAAATATTGACTTGACCAAGACTTCC